AGATGAAGGCATGCTGCTAAATTTCTTTACTTAATTTTACTCAGTCTCAAAGGCCAAATTTGCAAGAAAAACAAGAGCAAATAGCGAGGAACTTCGCAACTTGATGAATTTTGTGTTTTTTATGGTTATGGAAAAAACTCTGTTAGAATATCAACTATCAAAACACTTCTTCCCTTCAATTTACTTACCTTTATTGATCTTAGTTGGAAAACTTTTTAGGTGAATTTTATGTTATTGATATTTGAGGTAGGGGCAGTGGCTATGACAAGATGTTTTGGGAGAATTTTTCACATTTTTGTATTTTTAAAACCACCAGAAACTTATTTTCATTTGGAAATTAACACTTGTTAGTTCATCTCTAATTCGAGACCTTTAGTTTTCCTCCTTTTCCTTTGTTTTTTTGGTTAATTAATGTGCCGGTTTTTACATGTTTGCTTTGATTGAATTTTTCATTGTTTTCCCTTTCTTATGTATTGTGACAAATGCATTTTTTCCATTGTAAAAATAACAATGCAATTTAAAACAAAGAATTCACTGATTTCTTTTACAACCACGCAAAGCGCGGCTAATTTACTAGTGAATTTAAAAGCAAAAAATATACGTAATAACTTGCGTTTATTCTTACCTTGTTGTCGAAAATGATACCCTGGCTATCAAAAGCTTGATGCTCTGCTTTACACCGCTCAATTACCTCTTTGCTGCAATATTTCTTTAACCCCTCTGTATCTCCCTAATGATCCAAGAAGCAAGATATCATCAAAGTAAGATGCTTAAGTATATCAACATGAGAGGATTAGCTAGTAAGAAAAGACTAAAGCATCATTAGTTTCAAGTCTGAATCTTAATTATTTAAATCTCAATCATTAAGTGTGTTTGATTTCTAAATCTAAAATTTAATAATTCAAGTCTAAAGCATTAAGTGCGTTTATGTTGCTTGGATTCTTCAAAAATGTTGCCAGGTGCATGTCGGATCCTCCAAAAGCAGTGCATTCTTGGAGGATCCGACACGGGTGCGGCAACATTTTGGAGAGTCGGCGCAACATAGGTTTTTCTTTTACTGTCACTTAATAGGCCGGAATAGATCCGAATGAATAAAACCTATAACAAATATTTAATATCATTAAGATGCTACCAATTCAATAATTTCCAGAAAGATAGATTTTCACCACTACCCTTTCACGGCAAAGAATGCCACCACCACCGCCACAGACCATAGTAATTGCATAACCACCACCTCTAATCACCCTATTCAACCATCACCCCGCTAGCCACATTTACATCATCACCACCAGTCACCACCATCAGCCACAACCATATATCGGCAACCACCATTATCACCTGTCGCCATTATTAGCTAATCATCACTATCATCTATCAATTAGCAATCAGCACCACTGTTAACCAGTACTGTAAGTTGCCATCACAACTAGCTACTATCCACACCCACCACCATTGCCGGTCGATAACCACCGTTGATAGCCATCACCACCACCGTTGAATCTCATATTTATTAAGTTTTAAATAAACACAACATTTTTCTATGTTCATGGGATCAGAAAACAAACGATCTTATCTATTTAGTATTCATATCTTAACACACATTAATGGTCCAAATGTGCATTCAAATTCAAACAAGGGCTAAATAGTACTAATTTTATTTTAAAGGATTTATCCGTCCCTTCAATGTTATACAACAACAACAACAACTACCCAGTATAGTCCCACAAAGTGGGGTCTGGGGAGGGTAATATGTAGACAAGCCTTACCCCTACCCGAAAGGGCAGAGAGGCTGTTTCCAATAAAGAAAGACTTTCTCCTCTATGTCCAACTTTGAAGGGGTTGAAAAGTAAACGTGGAAAGGTTGCACACTATTCGACCACTTTAATATTGAACCAAACAAATGTTATACCATACCCTTCCTAGTCAGAAGCAGAGCCAGAATTTGAAGTTTATGTGTTCGAAATTCTAACTATTCCAAGTCAATGAGTTCTAAATTAATAACTATAATACAGTGTTTAAGCCAAAGCTACTTTGTTCGTCCAAACCATGCTTGTATCCCCGCCCCTACCTTCCTTCTACCTCTCCCATTTTCATCCCATACTAAAAAAAAATAAAAAAATAATCTGCCCATAAGCTTTAGTGAACTTGTGCATACTTACTTTGAAGAAAGCGTCAAGAACTGGTCGAATCACTTCTTGAACCTCATCAACAAATACAGGCAAAGAGAATGACCTTCACAAAACATACTTCAAATATATAGGAAAACAAGCCAAAAGTGAAAATGAGAAGTCAAACAAAAGAAGCTAGTAATCATACGGATCTCTGCTGTAAATCTCTTTAGTTGACATCGCAGCTGAAGATTCTCCATCCATATTCGCACGCATACTGTAACATTAAGATGGAAATTATAAGTTGATCTTAAATTGAACTCTATACATAATACAACTTTTAAAATGGTAATGTGTAGCCATACTCTTGGAGTTTGTGAACAACGGGATTATCACTCGTTTCAAGTCCCTCACGAATATCTTCTATAGTCTGTCATCCAGAACATAAAGTATTTAATATTACTTCACATTAACCGCATTCCAGATCAAGTCATGTATATCCTCATTGGATTAAACATAACAGAGGGAAATAGTTGAAAATAAAAATCTATTACTAGCACAAAAGATAAAATTACATTGAGAATCAGAAAGTACCTCCTGCAACTTTGTCACAAAAGGTTTAGTCGCAGCAGTGAAGCTCTTAGAAAGAGGGTGACCCTGCATCTGAGAATAATAAAAATTCAGTGCAAATTGGTAATATGAGAAAATATAACCTATGTTGCTCGGGCTCTTCAAAAATGCCGTTGGGTGCGTGTCGGATCCTCCAAAAGTAGTGCATTTTTGAAGGATCCGACACGGGTGCGGCAACATTTCTGAAGAGTCCGAACAACATAGAATACAACTTCACACGCATCTCAGCAGGGTCTAATAAGCAAGAGATTACTTTTTCCTTGAAGGTTTCCCATTCCTTATTCCATTTCGATTGCTTCGATGGTAAGACAACAACCTCAGTTCTTGTGCTCCTCTCAAAGTTTGACGAAGTTTCTTGTATGGGCGCAGAATACTCGAGGTGCTTTCTCGTACCAGGAGGAGTACCTTTCAACTCGTCCAATATGATGTCGTAGCCCTTCTTTGCTAAGCCAACAGGCTTTGCTTCTTTTACTTTCTGAAAGAACGGTGAGACTTTTGATGAAGCAGCAGATTTAACCTTGCTAAAAACTGTTTCCGCACTATCACTGGAACCAGATTGTTGTTCCTGTTGATTTTTTGCAGATGCAGACTCACTACTCCCATTGGCATTTGAACTAGAAGTGTCAGAGTGACTGCTTGATCCTCGAGCTTCTTGCTTCCCCACTCCAAAGCTATCTTTGACCTAAATAGGAATCAGAATCAGTTGTTACCTCCTTAAAGAGTTCACCAACCTCCTCTTTCGTAACAGATATTTTTTCCTCCTCAAAGGCATAAATAACAACAACAACATACCAGTAAAATCCCATCAGTGGGGTCTGGGGAGGGTAGAGTGTACGCAGACCTTACCCCTATCCCAGAGGGGGTAAAGAGGCTGTTTCCGGGAGACCATCGGCTCAAAAAACAAATTACAATAACTCAAAAGGTGGTGACTAGAACTTAACAAGTTTGAAGGAACTTTTACGATTTGAAGATTGAAAGATCAATATCTTTATTTTAATTCTATGAAAAGAACTCAGAAACCACACAAGACGAAGATACAATTAAACAGATTACTAACAGGATAAACTCTACTGCAAAGCAGTGTTATATGAGGTGCTGAAATTGTTTACACGCCATAAAGCTGAATGTCTACTTAATCTAACTTGTTGCTGCAATTTAAAGTTTGTAAATATTTCATGCCCCTTTTTTTCATTATTTTATCAACAATAAAAAAAAGGGGAAAGACTAGAAAAACAATTAACAAAAGTTAGCTCGGCATACCATCTTGATACCTTGAAGAAACATTGCACAGCATGATAATCTCATTCAGCAATCAAATATTAGACAAACACCAGAGCAACTGACGGAGGTTGCACTAATACCTTTTTTGTCGTAGCTTCAGCCTCCGTCCAAACACCATCCACATGTTTGTAAAGCGTCCCCGTTGTCTGCTTCATTCTGCATTAGGCGGTTCACCATTTCAGGGTCCCCATTGGAAGTTCTACCAGCCTTGACATACAACAGTATGTCTCGGCCCCTTAAGGAAAAGGTTAGAACCACCATAAAATTATATTAACAGGATATCTATAAGGCACCTTGTTTTAAAATCTTCTTTCACCCCTTTCAATTCCTCAGCTTTCTCCTTCAGTTGCTTGACAGACCGTTGGAATTCTTGATTTCTGCAGCCATAAGCATTGATGAATACACCCAATCGCACTAACAAAGCCCCAGAGTGTATAGATTGGGAGGGAGACACAAACACCTTAATAATTACTTCTAAGATTGAGAAGTAGTTGAACACTATTACTTATTCCAAAGTGACATACACATGCCATTTTTTCCGTAATTTGACGCTTAAAAACACTTTTTCCGGCCAACTGTTTTTATCAATTCTAACAAAAGCACTTCTCAAACAACTGTTACGGACTTACAGCTCCAACATACTTTCACCAGAGCACTTTTTCATGATAAGCAAATTTTGGGGACTTAGCCAAACAGGTTAATTAATAAAGTGATAGTACCTAATTTATGCAACAAAATAAAAAATAGCAACTCCTCAATTTACGAGACTTTGAGCCAGTGTTATCAAAGGCGAAAAGCGCAAAAAAGCTCTGAGGTTCGTTGGAGCTTTAAGAGCAAAGCGTGGGTTTTGATTAAAAAAAAAGGCGCTATGGGGAAAAAAGTAAAAATCTGTTTAGTAGTCCAAGACTAATCATTATAAATATGAATAACAAGTATATGGATAAAGAAATTGGAATTTTTTTGATAAAGTGAAATATCAATTGTTAAGGTCGCCTTTTCAGGATTACACTTATCGGCAATGAAAGTATGCGTTAGAGCTTTGATGCGACACTAAAACACCCACAAAGCGAAGCACACAACGTGTTTTGAGCCTCGCTTCAGAAGCGCTTTAAGCGCGCCTTTGACAATACTGCTTTAAGCTAGACAAAGCAAACCCGACATTGATAACCCAAAAAGGGGACAAAAAGAAGTAATCATCAGAATCAATTTGCTAGAAAAGCAACCACTAAATAGCAAAATTACCTGTAGACTTCGCTTTTAACCTGTTTGGAGAACTCATTGAATACACTATAAGGACGAATACCCACGTAACTCTCTGCTCCAATCAATCTCACCACCTTTGCATGCAAACACAAAAATACAAAAAGAATAAGCAAAAAGCCATTAAAGCACAAATTGAACAACCTTACAAGAACGAACCTGTTGTGGTGGCGCTAATATTCGCCGGAAAGAAGGATTTTTACAGATTACCCAATCCCGTACGAGCTTTCTGCTAGCCATTGGAACCTTTTGTTTCTTCCTAAAAGAATAATAATAATAATTCTGATACAGGAAGAATGTCAAATATTGCTTTTAGGGTTAATGTATTTTATTAATTGACCTTGTGTCGCCAAGCTTCTAAAATACGAAATAGTATATATTTTAAAAAAGTTGCTTTTTGTGAGTTTACGTGTGTTTAAAATGTAATTTAAAAATTACTATTCAACAGATTCTTCAAGCTTTTAAAAAGTACTAGCTTTAGAGTAATAAACTAAAAACTACATACCAGAAGAATAAATTATGTAAAATAAAAATGGGCATTAAAATTGATGCGATATTCATTTAAATGACAACAATAATGTTGTTATATTAACTCGTTTTTTGAATTTAAAATAATTAATATCTTTTAAACTTGCAACAATGAACAATTTAGTTAAGTTAATTATATTAATAATTATAACTATTTTGTTTTATCAGAATGTTGTGTTGATGCTAATAATTATAGCTGTTTTATTTTAAGATTTTAGAATGAATAGATTGGTCCTATAATTTTTTTTATTTTAAAAAAGGACATTCACAATATAAAGTCTAAAATTGATTAATGTTTTTTTTTTGGTTAAACGTTTAAATTTTATTAACCAAGTAAAATATTTACAGCACCTAACTCTTTTGGACTAAAGAGCTAGGCTCAAAAAAGACATCAAAAAAAGAATATATATATATATATATATATATATCAAATCGAGCCCTAGGGACATCAGTTTGGTATTCATGTCTTATAATTTTCTAGCTCCTCTAATACATATTCTTTGTAGCACAACCATCTTGTCACACAATATTCTATTATCTTTCTTGTATTCATGAACAAATAATTAAAATGCATATCTGTTTGGACACTAAATAGCAGAATTAGTTTGTTTTCAAAACACAATAAATTCTCAAATGGCCATTCTAAAATCGAAAGCAAAAACTCAAAAAAAAAAAAAAATACATTGAAAGGAGAAGATTTGAGGAAGAATGAAGTACCTATGCGTGAAGGCGAATTGGAATATGAACAGAGGGCAAAACCTTTAAAAGAGTGGCTGGTTAATAGAATCATGCGATTAGCAGTACCTAAAAAAAATACGCCAAGACCTAAAAGGTGTTGAAAATTTGTGGGAATTTTGACCTAAAATATTTAGGACATTGTGTTTAATCTATAAATGTATACTCATTAATTGATGCCTATATTAATTACCTAATCAACTATACCTCTTCAATCGTTTTCCTCTCTATATAAAGAGTCCTAAACTTAAGTAAACATAAATTAAAGTGCTCGTGCCTTTTATATCTAGGAAGACTTACTCGGTTAAAATTGTTCTTTTTACAAATATAATAAATTGTATAGCTCAAATAAAGAAAGCTTTAATACACAAAATTTAATTAATTTTGAATTCCTAAATATTAGAAAAATAATTCAATAACTATTCCTGAATAATAGAAATATAATTAAATGACTACTTTGTCCAATGTAAACTCTATTTTAAAAGGGTAAAAAAGGCGAACTACATTTCGCTAAGGCCTTCGTGCTTTTAATATAGTACTAGTTACTATATACGTGTGTTGCACGTAAATCTTTAGTCAAAACTTTAATATGAAAAAACAACTAACTAAATATAGTATCAAATTATTTACAAGATGAAATAATTATTGTTGCTTTATCGTATTCAAAGCAATAAAATATTAATTATACAAATATTATGATAAATCAAGTCCATGATGTACGAAGCTTATATGTCATAATTCTTAAGCATGGTAGTTAATGAAATTTTAACATTAAGCCACTATCAGATATCACGTATAAGGATTGATCTATACCTGTGCATGATTCAAATTTTACCGTAGAAGTTGTAGCTTACCACCTTTATTTTAGTTCGATTGAATGATTAACTCAAACCTTTAATCACTTCTCTTTGAGTGTACCAAGTAAAACTTTTTATGTTAAAAGAAATGTAAACTTTCATGTGACAAAACCTAATAATTTCAATGTGTTATCTGAAAGATTATGGAGACATGAATCAAGCAAACTTAAACTACTAAAGAAAAATTTGAATTATTGAGGGAATTCATGATTCGGGCACAAACATAATATTTGGGCAGGCAAATAATCATAGAATATCCTTTTAGCCTTGTTGTATATGGCAATAGTCTTTGAGCAATGGAAAGCTTAAATACATCCAATTTATTGGATGAATATTTTATTTGAAAAACAAAATGTGTGAATAAAATAATATAGCTATTTTTACACTTTTATACCCGAAGTTAACCCCAAACGTGCAAAATCTTGCAACCAAAGATGCACCTACACAATGACAACATAATGACGCTTTAGAAAAAAACTAAACAAATAAATAGATATAGGAGATTAATGGTCAGCATTAATCTGGTTATGTAATGACAGTTTTTTAATTAAATAAAATATTAGTTTTATAAAAAAAAAAAGAACTAAACAAAAGATTAAATAAATAAAACCAAAAGCACAAGAGCAAAGAAAAGAACTAAACAAAAGATTAAATAGACAAAACCAAAAGAACAAAGCAAAGAAAACCACCTTCGGTTGGAATCTAATACATAAAAAACTAAAGATAATCAATATTATAATTAAAAGCAAGAAAGAAGCCAAAAATTACAAATCAATTCAGTTTTTCTACGTTGATCTCCAAAGATTTTAGAATACCCTTATGTATCTTTTTCCCTATTAAAGATAAAAAATTTACAACAAAGTAAAAAAAATAGTTCTTTAATATACCTTATTTTCTTCAAAAGGAACAAAAATATTTTTTTAATTTTGTATTCCAACATCCCAAGAAAGTGTGCTGCTTGACGTGACTGCAAGAACGTTCATGAGTCTATCTGCATTATTAAAAACCAACACTTAAAAACTAAATAATACCAGATCAAAGTTAGTTGAATCAAAGAAAAAAATATATAAGTAGGAACAACATGCATGATCACCAACGAAGATGCGATCATCTATGTATCTATGTAAATCTGCAAACACATAATGAAGGTTGAAATAACTGAAAACTTTTGTGTTATATAATTTTATGGAACAAAAGATTTTGATTTCTTTAGACTTCTTAGGATTCATGTACTCTTTAATTTAATGAGTAGTTGCATATATGTAGAGCCTATTCTAATTAAATTAAAACTTAGTATTTACTTACCATTCTCAAACAGCAAAACTTCTATTGCCAAGTGAACGAATAAGAAAGATTCCTCGATCTTGTACAACCTGTAAAATAAGGTTAATTTGATGTGTCGGTGATGAGCAGTCCAAAACCATTAAGTCGGCAAAGAATTATACCTAATATCAAATTTATAGGATCGTCATAGGTATAGTTTAAATCAGTAAAGAATTGCACCCTTGAATAATTTACAATTATAACCTTAAATTATACAAATATTTAAGGGTATTAAAGTCGATCAATGTTACAAGAATATTTTAGTCATCCAACTTTTACCATAAAATATTCGTGCTTTTATAATAATATAGATAACTATAAATAGATATAGATTAATTTTAAAATAATTTTTCAGCAGCAAGTGATTAATTAAGTTTTTTATAAAGTATATTCACGTATTTTATTTTTTTTTTAGGAGAAATTACCTTTTATGCTTCTCTAAAATTGCTTTTACTTAAAAATACATTTTTTAAAAGTTTGCCTCAACTTGAAAAAAAAATATTTTTTTAATTTTGGAAAAGCTTGCCAAACCGTCTATTAATTGACTCAATTGATTTACCTAAATAATTGGGCCGAGTTGAAGTTAGCTGCTGGGTGGGTTGGATGACCATTACAGCCCAATAGGTTATGGTAAAAAAAAAAAAATAAGTACGTTCAACGATAACCACATATATTACTCTATCCGGTCCATTTTAATTAATTTTTTAACTAACTTTTTTACATCCACAATATTTTATTTTTTTATATATCAAGAAGAAATTAATTAACTTATTTGTTCCAAAGTTGCCTTGTAGTAAAGAGCTTAGGAGTATGTGTTACATTTTTAATGAAAAAATTAAAGTTAATATGGTTAATTTTACTGTTAATTAATGCTAAAAAATGAACTCTTTAACATGTGTAGAAATATTCAAAAAATTGATTAAAGTAGACCGGGAGTAGTAACTAGTGATCTCGAACTAACATTAGAATATGTTAATCACGGATGATCGTATAATTCGTTTTTATATAATAACTAGTGAATTTGTCGCGCGAATAAAAGACCTTTTTATATTTATAAAATAACATTTTTTAAATATTTAAACAATAAAAATAACAAAAATATATTATATACACCTAATTGTTCAACTTCCCAGTCTTTTACACTATGTCTGACCTCGCAGAGGAAAAGCGAAAGATAAAGGAGAGAATTTCAATAATTTGTTTTTAGCATAAAGTATTCTAAGATTCCACCATTATCAGTTATAAATACAATAAAAAGCATATGATATTTTTTGCCGACTCCTCCATGATTGGAATAAATTATTAAAAACTTGTTAGTGAGTAAATAACAAACACAAGTATTTTAAACTGATGAGGACTACTCACAATGTCACTCGGATTTAGAGATAAAAATTTAAGAGAAGCACATATGTTGGCAGAAAAAAAGTTGGATCAAGGTAAATATTGAAAGTTTGAATTGAATTTTTATAAGTAAATTAATTAGAAATATGCATGAGCAAATTTACAATGTCTTTTAACAAACAGGTATATTATACTTTACACGCTTTGGAGTTATGCCAAATAGAAATCTTCATCCCAAGATTGACTACGTCTCTTCATACAATATAATGCACCCATCGTGGCAGTAAGTGCAAGTCTTAATTTGCTAATAAATATGAATTAAACTCTTAAAAATAGAAGAAAAAAGAGGCATATGCATATAAAACACGCAAGACTTGTTAATTACACAGATACATCTACGTCGCCAATTTGCAATAACAGTCTTGATAGACAGACTTAAGAAATTGGCAACAATTTGCACATATATAGAGGCTTCAATTTGCAAATATATGACCGTTGCACCAAAAGATGCATAGTTCAGTGCTACTACACCTAAAAATCGGACAGAAATCAAGAATACTGTATACAGAGATAACTGAATACCAACCAAACATGAAAAAAACTACAATTTCCAAACCAGAAAGGGGAGAAAGAAGAGGAAGTCGACCTTAAAGACTAAAGTGAAGTAATAATAAGTAATTCAATACAGAGATACAGTGAGAAAACAAAATATGAGAGATAAAAAATTAATAAAATCAGAAAGAGGGTTACCTCTGACGAATAGGAGAAAGAAACAAAGCAGAAATCAAACTAAAAAATACTGAAGAGGAAAAGAAGAATTTTACCTTTGTGATGGGAACGGAGAATAGGAAAAGCAAGGCGTTGGAGATTTACCTCCAAAGGAAAAACTGGAAGAGAAGAAGCCCTAAATCGTACTCCAATTATGATGATTAATGACGTTTCGTATTATCTATATCTATCTTCTATATCTATCTATATCTATACTATATTAAAAGTAAGAAGGTGCTTAGCAAAATGTCGTTCGCCTTTTTTACCCTTTAAAAATAAATTTTACATTAGACAAAATAGTAATTTAAATATTCTCCTAATATTTAGGAATAAGCATTTAATTATTTTCCTAATATTTAGGAATTTAAAATTAATTAAACTTTGTGTAATTATGAACCTTCCTTATTAAAAAAAGTTACACAAGGAACGGGAAAATGAAATAGGAATGTAATTGGTGAGCGAAATACAGTCTTTCATTTTTTAAGGTAATTAACATATGAAGTTCTTCTACTTGAATAGATTGTATTAAAAGCATAAACTTCGCAAATTGATCAAACTTTTTCCAATAACTTCTAAGAACTAAATGTCCTATCACGAGTTCACTACAAAAGACAATAGAAGTGTAAGAGCCCGTTTAGCCAAGATATCAAGAAACTGCATATTTTGAGAAGTACTTTTATTTAAAATGTGCTTTTCAAAAAAGTACTCATGGAGAGTAGCATTTGTGTTTGGCCAATTCATTTGAGAAGTGATTTTTTCAATATATGATCAGCAATTTATGTTTGGCCAAATCTTTCTAAAAAGTACTTTTGAGTGTCAAATTACAAAAGGGGACAGTATCAATGTTTAGTATTTAAAAGAGAGAAATAATGCAAATATTTATTGTAAAAAATTTAATTTATTTTTAGAAGACTTTGCTTACACTCTACCCTCTTTAGACCCCATTTGGTAGAATTTTACTGGGTTATTGTTGTTGTTGTTGTTGTTGTTATTGTTGTTGTAAATATAAAAACATTATCTGTTCTTGAGAAATTTACATTCTTTCAACTATAGTATGTGCATGAACGCCATAAAGAAATAGAAATAAAACTGCAAACTGAAGATCATATAATGTTGATATACTACAAACGAGAAAATGAAAATCATATATTGTGAATAGAGTGTTTGAATCTGCTGAAGAAACTACAGACTTAAAAAAATATTTAGCTATAGGGGAGACTATTCCAAAGAGAATAGGAGAAAGGAAAATAAAGTACATTAATTAAAATAAAAAAAGAGAAGAAAGAGACGGTAAAAACAAAAAGAAAAACAAAAAAATATTAATTTAATAAGGGATAACTTGAAAAATAGAAGTTTACGTAAGGATATTATTGTCCGGAAAAAAGTTAACTTTCTGCTTCTACTTCAAAAACTGCTTCTGCTGCTGCTCAAATCACTTTTTTGTTTTAGCCAAATACCTCAAATTGCAAAGAGAGCGCTTTTGGCCTCCTAGAAACTTGGCCAAACATGTTCTAAATAAATAACTGTAAAATATAATTTAATAGTTTTATACATTTTTTCTTGTGTAAATTTAAAGAATGTTCATCTATTTGCAATACAAGTGTTGTTGTTTCTTTAAGACAAAATATCTTAAATCACCCATAAACTTGGCTCAGATTATTAGTATCCTCCCCGAATTATACCCGGTCTTAATTACCCCCTCAATTTGGCATTTTGAGGGCCATTAACCCCCTAGATGCTGATGTGGCAAAAAATGCGGGTGCACTCGCCTGCCACCTGGATTTTTCTGTCTATGTGGTATTTTTTTAAAAAATAAAATATATTTTTTTTTTACCTTTTTTAGAATATTGCTTTTTTAGATAATTTGTTTCGAATAAAATTTATAATAAAACTTGGATTTAACTACATTATTTAGGTTAAATAATTTTATTTGGCAAAAAATAATAAAGTTTAGTTAATCTTTTTTTAAATTTGATCTGAAAATAAAGATTTATACAATTGAAATATATAGTCAAGGCATTTAAAAAGTTATTAAAAATACACAGTTTGAAATTAATTATTTTGGCTATAATTTTTTATATAGCTCTAAATTACGGTGTTCTAAATTTTTTTAATTTTTTTTACAAATTTTACCTGAAAAGGTAAAAATACACAGTTGAAATAAATAGTCATTGCATCAGAAGAAGAAATAAAAAGAGTGTACAATTGCAAGAAATTACAAGTGTAATTGTACACTCTTTTTATTTCTTCTTTTGATGCAATGACTATTTATTTTAGCTATGTATTTTTTATAACTTTTTAGATGACTTGACTATTTATTTCAATTGTATAAATCTTTATT